GCACGGCAAGCGCGCTTAGAATTCCGTCGCTCCGCACGCTCGCCCGTTCTGGGTTCGCCATCGATCGGGATTCACAGTTCCGGGTGGTCGGAGCGGAGAGGATCCATCCTCCCCCGTCCAACGGCGGCGGCAGCATCCACAGGATTTTGCATGCCTCTGAGATTTCCCATCCTTCTCTCTCTTTCTCTCTCTCTCTCGCTCTCGCTCCATTTTCGTCCTTCTCCATGGCGTCCCGCAAAATATCACCCGCTCACGACACTCATTTTTCACGGTTGACCGTCGTCGAGGGCCACGAGATAACAACAGTGGAGAGGAAAGGTTTGCCACCGCGATAACTCTCACGGAAGAGAGAGAGGAGAGCCCTTCCTCCTCTTCTGTTCTCTACTCGGTCCCTCTTGCTCGCTCGTTCGCCTCGAGGGTGGCAGGAGAGTAGGTCTGGCCGGCTAGTCATTAGTCACTTTCCGAAGCAGAGGCACAGACAGGCCGCGGCTCTTCCTCCCTTCCGTCCTGCCTCGCTTCCTCCTTCTCTTTCCCTCATTCTCTCTCTCTCTCTCTCTCTCCATCCTTTCTCGCTGTTTCGTCCCGCTCCGTGTACCGTCTACCGGTCTACTCTCCTTTCTTCTTCGTCTCGCTACGTGATTTCGTGCCTTCCTCGTGTCTCACAGGTCTCACTCGCACCACAGTCTCTACACCGGCCACCCTTCCTTTCCTCCCGCATCCCCCCGCCACCGCTCGCCGACTACGAGACTCCGACTCCGAGACCCGAAGCGGTATAAGTCTCCCCTCTTGTCGGGCTCCGTCGACTGTGGCTTCGAGACGTTCTCGCTTGCTCCCCTCATGGAGAGAAACGCCGCCGCCGCCACCGCGCTCGTGTTCACCTCCTCTGCCGGTGCTAAGCCTCTCGCGCGTCTATCTTGATTGAGAGGGAGCGCTTCTCTCTCTCTCTCTCTCTCTCTCTCTCTCTCTCTCTTCGTTTCGCTATGTCTTTCCGCATCCTTCTTTCTCGTCGTTACAGAGTCTAGAGAAAGAGTGAGAGAGATAAAGATAGAAAGCGAACTAACCATGCCTACGGTGAACCTGACGAGGACGCAGCGAGAGAGAGAGGTTGTCATTGATCGTCCCGACTGCGGTTTGCGAGCCGCTAAAGGTCCCGTACAAGCACGGGCCCGCCGGAGTGTAAGCTGAAGCCGCGTGTAACGCATACGTGCGTGTATGCGTGAGCACACGTGCGTAAGCGCTCCGTTCGTCGTTCTTGTGCGCGCGGCGGCGGAAACCTTTTTCTTCTTGTGCTACTCGAATTGCAGTGTTATTAGGTTGGCTTGTAACGATCAGATACGTAATGTGCGTACGGCGAGTTGATATTTTACAAGAATGTTAAAAATGCAACAATCACATTCACATCCTTCATAGATACTATAATGATGCAGAATACGTAAAAAGAATATCCGTAGATATACAGTACAGTTATTAACATAAAATATTATTTAACTTTTAGAAGGCGGGGATCTATTTAAAAAATTTTACCGCTTTTTCTGAGTAAGATTTGTTATAATTCGTTATTTCATTGTATTTCTTGTCTCAAAATATAACACTTTCAGCGTTACTGTATAACAGTTTTTTCAATCTGTAAAGGTTAATTTAGAAGAAAACAAAACTAAAGGATTTCGATAGAAATTGATTAATACACGGAAAAAGGACGATTTTGCTGCATTCAAAAATTTAGGTAGATACAGATCTGAAAATAACTGTTGGGCCATCAAAATAATTATGTAGCACGCTCAAACTGATTATCAGGATGTTGAAACCTTTTATTCTTTATGCTTGAGATTTCTTCTACGTAACTATTTTAATGGTTCAACAGAATTATTTTCTGTATTTAGCTAAATTAGATATTATAGCAAAATCGTCCTTTTCGCGTATAAGTTTAATAATATCTTATATTCAGTATATAAATTCATAAGACTGTCCTCTCGTAAATGTTATTGAATCATTTTTTTCTCTCTTTATACATCTTTTCTCTGATACGAGGATAGCGTTCTCTGTATGAACACAATAATCAAACAACCAAGTTTGTTGCTAAACGCCAAACGTATGATACTGCTGACGACGGTATTTCTCGGGAAAATTGAGAGCGCTCGGCGAGCAGTTTTTAATCAACGCTGCAAGGGAACTGGGACATTCGGCAGGATAGGTGGCGACGACGGATAAAGGAAAAAGACGGTATGTGCGCGCGGAGGTTAACCAAGGCGATAATTCGTCGCTCCGATTTCGGGGGTTTGGCTCGGTTAACCGAAATCGTGGCTCCGAGGGCGTGCGCCGCGACCCTTAGCCAATAAAACAGTTGACCTCCTCGACCGGGAGGCGAAGTAGCAAGGCGGAACGAGTAAAACGACTGGATCCGACGAGGCCCTCTGCACATTTTTGGCGATCGCTGCGAATTCTTCGCTAATGGTTCCCCTTCCTCTCCGTTTTTCGTTCCATATCTTT